AAAGAGATGCTATAATGTGTTATAATGCTAGTACATATTCTGCTCTGCTTCTTTCTATGGAATCCTAATGGGGAAAACCAAACTGTACATTTCCCTGAAGTATGCACCTTGTCTTACTGCCATGCCACCCCGCTTAAACACAAGACCATTCAAATCTCCAAATTCCCTTCTCCCTAATAGCGCCAAGGCGATGTGCCTGATTTTTAGGCCGACAAGTGAGGGTCTCCAGGATAAGATAAAAGCTCCACGCCTGCGACAGCGGTGTTGGTGGTGCCCTGGTGAATGCTCCTCCTTTGCATTTGTCCTCGCTCAGTCACCTCTCGTGAAGCCCAAGAGTTGTTAGGGGAGGCTGCCAAAGCCCACACTGTGTGTGGACAGAGGCAGCGGTGGGAGTATGGAATCAAATCCAGTCCAAGCAATTCTGTTTTGCTCCCCGTCTCAGAGCACCACATGCCCTCTGCAGTTACAAATCAACCCCGAACTGCCCTTTCAAACTCTTGAGCAGTCAGCTGTAAATCACTGAAAAATTGCTCTTCTTTAGCACGACCACTTTGTCACATAATTCAACATAAAGTCCAAGCAGTACCTAGGTACCCAGTGACTGCTGCAGGTCAGTTCATTTCTGTGATGTTACTCTGAGTATGCAACAGTGCAGACCAGGTCTGACTCAAGCCTTGTGTTTCCGATTAAAAGCTTATGAACATAACACCTAGGTTTCTCAAAAATCTCTTCTGCATACTTTCAAAGCACAGCTTGTTTCATCGGATCAGAGGATAGTTGAGGTTGGAAGAGACCCAGGCAGCCTCTAGTCCACCCCCTGCTCCAGCGGGGTCAGCTCTGAGATCAGACTAGGTTACTCAGGGCTCTGTCTATTTGTGTCTGGAAAACCTCCAAGGGTGGAGACTGCCAAACCTCTCCTGGCAGCCTTTCGAAGTGATAATAATGAGCGATGCAGGCTGTCTGAGGAGATCCCAGGTACAGTTTTCTCTTGCAGACCCAAAGACACCCCTTTCATTCTCCAGCCTGGAAGAAGTGAGGAAGGTCAGAGGACTGCCACATCCTTTCTCCTCCTAGGGCTGCAGGGGAGCACACAGCATTCATTTGAAATATGTTGTTCCTCTTGCATCGCAGAAATAAAGCATGTGGATTGTGCAGGGATGGGAGTGCTCTGTGTGAGCTGGAAAAGACTGGTCTGCTGTGGATAACGCTCCCCAGTCTTGGGAAACAGGAGAGAGATATTCCTGTAGGATTATCCATTTGTTTTACATGGTGTATTTTGTTGAAATCACCTAGAAAGCACAATATCTTCAGGATCGGAGAGTGAGACTTTGAAACTGGGGTTTGAGTATAATTAAGCCGAACGATTCACAGGAAATGTTGGGTTTGGGAGGGATGGGAGGAAGGTTCCTCCCTGAGGAAGACATCCTGGTGGTATAACACATTAAAATGTGATTTTACGGGGCTGGATGGTTGCTCACATGTGTGCAAAGCAACCGGCGTGCTGCTTCAGCCCAGGGAGGGCCTGCTGCTAGGAGCATCACTCCTACTAGTAGGATTCAGCTCTCCAAAGCAATAATGTGCCTTCATTGCCTCTCCCTAACAAATGCATTAACTGAGGCTGTCTGGAGCTTGCAGTACTGATCCCTGAGTGTATTTAATAAGGAGCCATAAGACCACAAAGACAGCAACACTAACACCTCTGGATAAAACATGCACCAATGCTTTGACTTAGTATTAGAGCCTGTGTGTCTCCTAGTATTGGCTCTGATTTAAATAAATGGAGGCTGTGTGCCCTTTTCCTCTCCTGTGGATCTTTAGTGATCCCCCACAACTTAAAAATTAATGTTCTTAATGCCGTGTCCGGACTCAGCAATAGTTTGTCTGTATGCATCCTCCTTGCCAAATCTCCCTTGCAGATTTGATTACATGAAGCATCATTCATTTCCTGAACTAAACCTGCTCTGTTATCTGGTGCCATTCTAATACTACCCTGAACGGAAATGTAATTTGGTTGTATATTCAGTGATCTCTACATACTGCACTCATTTCTTTGGTGCCGAAGAATCATCTTCCTGTCTGTGAAATATCCCATGTAAATCCATTGTCTTAAGCTATGGAAAAGTATGGGATATAAACCCATAAATGAAAATAACCATGCATTCTAACAGGATACCCCGTCTTAGACAAAATACCAGAAGTAGTTGTTATTGATATTTGTTACGGGCCAGGATTTTCAATACTCCCTAGTGGGCTTGGTGGAGTTATTGTGACC